GGGTGGGAGGGGGGGGTGGGTGGAGATGGGTCTCCATTAGGTAACCACAATGGGAGAAAATAGTTCCTATGATAAAGTATCATTTTCATTTTAGTATGTTGCTTTCTGAGCAACCTTCTCTTGGTAATTTGCAAGCCCCATGTTTACAGCCTAAACTGAACCCAGTTTGTCCTTGAACTTTTGTTTCTTTAGGTAAGGATACACTATTTGCTCCAAACCTAATCCTTGTGCATGTTTCAAGCAGCTTTATCCCCATGGAATTTGGACCCAGGGATCCTGCCCCAGTTAAGACTTCTGCATCTTTTTATGTAGAAAGACCTGTGCTTGGCAGTCAATATGATAGCACAGATGACTGTAAAAACCCTCATTCAGCCCCTTGCTGGTTATGCTGCTTTGAATAAGTCACTTCCCTTCCAACCCTCAGTTTCTCTTTGTTGGTATACTCGGTTTACTGATATCTGTGCCGATGAAGTACAAGTGTGCATAGTAAGCGCTTGGCATATACTGGAGAAAATGTGAATTTGGTTTGTGTTCTTAAATGAACACCATCATGCACACTGTTGGTTGTACAGAATCCTCAACACTGTAGCCCTCAGTCCAGCTCTTTGTTTACATGCCAAGAGTCTGTCTGTGCTCAGCTGTGAGTGTCCTGAGGCCTGAGCCCAAGCTTTCTGAATCATGGGTTGCTCTAGCACATGGTCACTAAGTACTTGCTGCCATGTTAGGAGCATACTGGAAGGAAATGTTTAGTCATAAGCACAGTATATGTGTCCTCATCATGGATGCCAGGAGAAAGGGTCTGAAAAGAGGACATGAGGGTGAAATCGGATGAAGGCTTGATGGTAGTGAGAGGGCTGGCTTGGATCCAAGGTTTTCTTGGGCTGTGAGGCTTGAGGAGAACTGTGGTTCTTCAGTTAGTAAAGGGCCAGAGTTTGATTCCCAGACCCCACATACAAAATTCTGAGCTTGGTGATATGTGCTAGAGGGGCTGAGATCAGATCCCTGGAGCTGGCAAATTAGCCACTTTAGCGGAATCTGCAAACCCCAGGCCCAAGAAAAAAAGACCCTGTTTCAAACAAAAGAAAACAACCACGGCAGCTGGCTTCTGAGGAATGGCCTCCAGGCTAACCTCTCACCTCCAGGTGTGTCTGCACACTCCTGTGCATACATCCACAGTGACATGTGCCCCCAGCGTGAACAGGAGCACATACATGAAGATGTAATTTTTATATCATAAAGCTTACCCATTTAAAGTAAACTACAGAATGTAAATGGTGTGTAACATCACCATAATCCATATTGGGAACATTTTCAATTATTTGAAAAGAAACACATGTCCATTAGCAATCCTTTCTCATTTTTCTCTTGTCATCCTGTCCCCAAGGCAGGCCCCCTTGCCCACAATATTTTTTACTCTATAGATTTACCTATTCACAGATAAGATTCCTAACAATTCACATTCTTTTGTGAGATCCACATTGCAGCATGCATCACTACTTTTCCCCCTTTTGTGTCAAATAATAGTCTGTTGTCCCTGTGTATCATGTTTTGTTCATGTCAGTGGATATTGTTTCTTTGTCTTTTTGTTGTCCATTATGAACATTGTTATGAACCTTTATTTGGATATGAATTTTGTGTGGATGTGAGTTTTCACTGATTCTTGGATTCCACCCAGAGTAGAACTGCCAGGCTATATGGGAACTTTGTAGTTGTTATTTGAGGGACTGCCAAACACAATTCCAAAGATGGGCCACCATTTGTCTCTCTCACCAGCAGCGTCTTGCAGGTTCTGAGTTTTTGTACTTCACCAGCACTTTTAATCAGGTTTTTGACTCAAGCCACAAATGCAGGTGTGGTATGATATGTCACTGTACAATTGATCCTTTAGTGCCTGTTGATAGTGTCTTTTCATGTGCTTCTTAACCATTTGTGTATCTTCTTTAGTGACCTGCCTTTTTTGCATAGTTTAAAAAATGTGAATTATTTTAGCCTGGCAATTTCACTTCTTCATATCTGCTTTAGAGGCATCCTCATACACATGCACAATGGATCCAGTGTACAGATACTCAGACAGCATGGTTTTACAAAGGAACTGCTTGGAAACAAGCTGAATTCCTTTAGCCGGTGATGGGGTATGTACACATTCTTTCAAAGCATCTTTCAGACTGATCCAACCCACTGCTGGCTTTTAAAAGTCAGCTTCCTAGGTTGCAGCCAGACCTTTTAAAAGTAGGACAGAACAGAGATGGTTTCAGGCATTAAGGAATTCTTTTATGGGTCATTGCCAGGAAAGTTTGAAAATTACTGCTGCAGAATTCTTGGTAGGGTTACAAATGTGGACACAGACCCATGTGTACAGTCACCAAAACTGTAGCTGAATCTGCAGCTAGAGGATGGGTGGTGCAGAGTATCACATACACTTTGATTGCATTGGTGTGTGTGTGTGTGTGTGTGTGTGTGTGTGTGTGTGTATTCATCTGCTTGTGTCCCTTCATGCATTTTCCTCTACCTATTGCTTCCCACCTTGGTTTTTGAGACAGAGTCTCTCATTGAACCTGTAGCTCTCATGTTTTGGCTAGACTGGCTGACCAGTAAGCCCCCAGGTGCACATGTTAGCACCATCCCTACCAGTGCTAGCGTTACAGACATATGCCAAAACACCTGACTTTTACATGGGTTTTGGTATCCAAACTGAGCTGTTTAAGCTTGTACAGCAAACACTTTATCCACTGAGCCATCTCCCCAGCCTGCATTAGTCTTACTATAAGCCAGAAAATAAAACTATGATTCTCCTTATATAAATGCCTAGCAGAAGGCAAGCAGGCACCTTGTTATATATGATCTTTGTTTTTATGCATTTCTTCTCTAATTAAAATTCATGGCATACAATGAAAAAGCAAGTTCAGAGACAAACAGCAGTGTACTTGTTCATGTGATTGATTTTTCAGGGTGATGGCCAGTCTGCCCCAGCTCTGGTGGCACTGCCAGTGAAAAGCTTAGTTCTCTTTGGGTCCTGCAGTGTGAAAGGACAATTACTTCTGGCAAATATAAGCACAGAAAGAGATGGCTTCTTCAGAGAGGCAGTAAAATAAGACAGGAGAATGAGGTAGAATAGTGCCCTTTCCCCTAGGGCCCAAGGCCTACCTCCCTTGGCACATTGTGATGCTCAGCATTTTATGAATATTCACTCATTCAGTCAGCAAAGAATGGTGACCATGCCCTGTTCAGAGGACTAGAAGGTCCTTACCCCTGGTATTAGGAGGCCAGAGCAGTGAGGAAGTGCAACGTGGGGGAAGTGGAAACATGCCAAATGTAGGATGCCTGTCTTTACTTTTGGAGGCCTGTTTTCTCATAACAACAACACCTCCACCCCCTACTAAGAAAAAAGAAAAAGCAACATTTAAAAAGTAGTACCCATTTGCAGTGGGGAGGCAGACACAGGCAGATCTCTGTGAGTTCGAGGCCAGCCTGGTCTCCAGAGCAAGTGCCAGGATAGGCTCCAAAGCTATACCCCATTCAAAAGGTGGTGGTTGAACTTGCTTTTTAAAATTCTGTTTAGAAAATGGACTTTGTACTTTTAGTGGTGCATATTGGAAGAAATAGAAAATTAAGATAAAAGAAAACGTCTCATTTCCCTGCAAGTGATACTTTTGGTTCTTTGGAATATTTTCTTGGTGTTAGGTATTTGTATATTTGTAGCTCACCAAGTTTCTAAAAAAGATGCAGAATGACTTTACATGTGATTTTTCAAGATGTAGACATGTTCTACTTAGGTTTCCCCAGCTGACCTACTTTAAGTGCTTATTTTCTTGGTGTTGGATTTTTGTATTTCCAGGTTTTTGTTTGGTCTGATTCCTAAGGTCTTGTTTCCATTCAAACTTTGTTGATTAGGGATTGTCTCAGATGGGGCATGTTTGTAGAGTTAGAGGCAGGAAAAAGTTTGCTCTGGGGTCATTCATAGCTTCCTTTAAATCTTATTTTCATGTTGCATGAGGGACGTGTTAGACATTATCTTAGTCAGAATAACTATTGCTGCAATGAAACACCATGACCAAAGCAACTTGGGGGGTAGAGTAGGACTTATTTCACTTACACTTTCAAGTAACAGTCAATCACTGAAGAAAGTCAGGGCAGGAACTTGAATAGGACAGGAAATCGGAGGCAGGAGCTGATGATGTAGGAGCCATGGAGGAGTGCTGCTTATTGTCTTGTTCTTCATGGCTTGCTCAGCTTGCTTTCTTATAGTACCTAGGACCACCTGCCCAGGGATGGCACCACCCATATTGGACTGGACCCCTCCCATTAATCGCTAATTAAGTAAATGTCTTACAGCTGGATCTTTCTCAATTGAGATTCCCTCCTTTCAGTTAACTCTAGCTTGTGTCATGTTGACGTAAAACTAGCCAGCACAGACATAAAAGGCCTGTATGTGAGACTTGGTTCTTCAGTTTGTTGCTGTCTGACCGTCAGAGACTAAAATTATCCAGGCCTCAAGGCCTTTAGAAAATGCATGCACCTTCAGGGAATTGGCAGTTGGAACAAGTGTAAATATTTTATAAATTGTAAAGCACAGTATGTGTGAGGTTGACAGTGATATTCTACTCTTGTCTATGAAGCATAATTATATGCCAGGCATCTTGTGGGCACCGTGTGCCTTGTTTATTTTTTACCAAGGCCGTTGCTCTGTGAAGTAGCTGGTATTCTTCTATTGGACTGGAAGGCTGTGAGGCTGGAAGAGGTGCAAACAGGACTTAGAACAGGTTGCAGAGGCAATCTATTGTAGTTTAGATTTCTGTCACTGTCCCCAAATCCTTACTGAACCACGTTAGACAATTTGACAGTGACAGTGTCTTAAATCAGTGACTTCTGCATTTTTTGTTTGATATTCCTCAAAGTCTGAATTTGTGTCTGAATTAATTACTTTTCTATTACTGTGATAAGACAGTGTGACCAGGGCAACTTACAGGAAAAAGAAGTTTATTTGGGACTTCCAGTTTTAGAAGGTTAGAGTCTGTGACCATCATAGTGGGAAGATTGGCAGTAGGCAAGCAGGCATGGCACTAGAGCAGTATCTGAGAGCTTATGTCTTGAGACAGCATCACTGGGCCAAGAGGGAGAGACTGGGAATAGCATGGGCTTTTGAAGCCCCAAAGCCTTCCCCCAGTGACATACCTTCAAAAAGGCCACACCTCCTAATTTTTCCCAAGCAGTTCCATTGACTGGGAACCAAGTATTCAAATATATGAGTCTACTGAGGTCCTTCTCATCCAAACCACCATAGTTTCTTATTTCCAGAAGTTTAATTTTTGATTGTGATGCCTAGTTGGTGATGTCTAACAGGTAAGATGAGACACAAAAACCCAGAGTGGCTTATAACTGGCATAGTCCCACCACTTAGTATGCACTTGTAGGTTAAATAGCTAAATGACTGTCCACCATGAATATCACTCAGCTATGAGAACTGAAACTCTGAGCAGAGCCCTTAGCTCCAAAGCCTGAATTCTTAAAGTTCAGTGCTTACTACCTCCCAGGCAGTTCAGCCTTGTGTCCTTCTTGGCCCTGGTCCAATGACTGTTACATGAAGTCCATGCTCTCTTACAGGTCTCTCTTGATCAAGTGCTAGATTATCTCTCATCCCTCTGTGCTCTCTCCTAGTGGCCTTCACCCTGTTCTGCCAAGTGATCTAGATGGCATCATTGACACTGCTGGCTTGGGAAATGGAGGTAAGCATGTAAACCAACAATCAGTGGGGAGTAGGCTAAGCTCATGAGCATCTGAGGCCTGGATTTATCATCTATTGCTCTGGGGCCCAGAGCCAACCTGGCCTGTTCCACAATGGGCACTCAGCATCTTGTACATGTGTGCTGTTTTACTTTTAACCTTCTTCATAAACATGGACTAGAAGAGTCCATGTCCTCAGACACGAGTTTACTTCCTGTTAATAGACAGCTATGTGGAAGCTCGACATTGGATTGATACCAGCTCTGACACGAGGGTTCTATTGGTGTCTACAGCTGAATGCTTGAAGCCCAAAAGAGCTGCCGTCTGGACTTCACTGTACCAGAGTTTTCTACCAGGCTGCTGGCTAGAGTTTAGCTTCAGGAAGTAGCTGCTCAGATTGTAGGAGGTGTTGCTCAATATTGGCAACATGTTATGTTTAAACTGCATTGTGGGAGGCTGCAGTCTGGGTCTTGCATTCTTCATTTTATTCTGGAAGAAGTGTGTGCTAAGTGTCTGTGTGGGTAGTGCTAAGAATTTGCTTGCTGAGTTATCTTAGAGATATTTTGACTTGTGCTTTTTTTCTCATCTCTAAAGTCAGGATATCTCTATCTCTAATCTTTATCTGTATCTATATCTTTTGGAGCAGACAGAATGAGAATGAGAAGGTTAATGATGTAGCCTAATAGGCCATCCCCAGGTTTTCCTTTGGGAACTGTTAACTTTTACTTGAAACAAGATTTGATGAGCAGAAAGTTGTGAGTCCTGCCCTTAATTCAGCCCAGGATGTACTTGCCTTCTTGCCAGACTCTGGCCAAACAATAGGATTCAACTTGGAATGTCATTGCCTTCAGTCTGAGAACAGACAGATAAGAAGTTATTCTGATAAATCATTTGATCAAAATTAGGAACAGAGATGTGTTAGGTGCTGTGAGAAGGATTGGGGAGGAAGGGAGTCAAGTGAGTGTTGCCCAAGAGATAGGACACTGCAGCTGAGAATTGGCATGGGACTGAGGTAGACGAAGGACAGGATAAGCTTTTCCAACACACATGGCTGAGCACTGACTGAGGAGAGAAGACAAACCCCTTGTCCTTGGTTAGGGACACAAGACTGCATACTGTCTCTGCCCACACTTGCCTGTGCCTGGGGTCTTCTGTTGTCCCTTCTGCCTGCCGCTGCCTGCTGTATTGAGAACTCAGCTCAAAGCTCACCACCTTCTTGGACTTTCCCCAGTTACTAAGCATCCTCTCTCCTCTGAGTTTCCTTATCCCTGTTGGCCTCTTTCCTAGTATCCAGAAACAAACAGGTTCTCACCCATTTTCGCTCATCCCATCCTGGCCAAACAACAGGATGCTGGCCTGGGTTATCCCAGTTGTTCCCTTGCTGTTTGCATTGTTTCTCTCCTGGACCCATACAGCCTGTTCTCAGACAGGCAGCCAGAGGGAGCCTGACTCTGTTCATGTTGCTCACATTCAGTCTTCCAGACAGCAGTGTAGTGGTTAGTGGAGCCTGCAAGGCCAGCCTTCCTACTTTACATTTCTCTATCCCAAGTCATCTTTTAGCATAGTATGTGACCACCCAGTTCTTTTCTCTTTCCTCCTTCTAGAATGGCTCTATTTGTTTTTTGTTGTAGGCAGACCGAGAAAGCTCTAGCAGGAAGAAGCAACCTTTCAGCTAAGCTTTGTCTGAGTGGATTCTTCAGTCTTTCTGACACATTTAACCAGTATCATGATAGTGGATTTTTCCTCTGTTTTGCCTACTTGCCTGGGAACCTCTTGGGTGCAGGCTCACTGCCTCCTTCACTATTGTTCCCCAGAGCTCAGGCTGGTGCTTGGTGCAGGGCAGGTGTGTGGTAAATGTTTAATCAATTAAGGAAGCTCTGGAGAGACTGGGTCCCAGCAAGGCCTGTGCTCACCCCTCAGCAGGTTTGGAGTTTCCTGCCGTTGTCTGCTTTGGGAAGGAAACTTTTCTTGGAACATAGGTTCTGTGTTTATGAGTTGCTTTATGAGGCTTTTCTTATGTGGCTTTGTGTATGTCCTACAAAGCCCAAAATCGTCTTTGCCGTTTTAAGAAAGTGTTTGCCTACACTGCTGCCAGGTCAGTCCGGTTCTGTCTCAGTTACTGACATGTGAGGAGGAGGAAGTACATCTGAAGACTGTCTACTTTGTCACATGCCCCATATCTTTTTTGGGTTAATTCCCTTGACTTATGTGGCTACATTAGGATCAGTGTAGGTAATTTGCCAATATTGAGTAATTAGAGTGTTATCTGGACTCAAATCTGTAAATGCCAACAAGCAAGAAGGGCCTGCAGGTACCCTGATTGCTATTCTGATTTTCTCTTTTGGGCTTTCAGCCCCAATAGGAATGTTGGGCAGTCTGAATACCCTAATGATTTACTTTGTCTGCTTTGCCTTTCTACAGTGCTCCCAAACTTGTCAGAAGAAAAGGTCTCTCCCACCAGAGCCCGGAACATGAAGGACTTTGAAAATGTAAGTGAAAACACCAAATCCTCTTCCTCTAAGAAGTCATGACTGCTGCTACTATGTAGCCAGACCAGAAGAGAACTGTTTGAGTAATGCCAGAGATGAGGTGGCTGGTGAGGTGATATGTACCATGTGGTGGGGTTTTCATGGCCTTGGGCCTTAAGTGTGAGGCGTTTACATGTACACACAACCAGTCTTTCATAAAGATTCTGGTGGGTTCTGACAGGTAATTGGTTTGTTTCTGGTGTCTTGAAGATGAGTATTGCTGTATTGTTCAGCAAAGTGGAGCTGACAATATCATAGGTACATGATTTATTGGTCCTTGCTACAACTCATGAGGTATTTTATATTAGCCCCATTTTACAAAGGAGTTCTCAGAGTAAGAGAGACTGATTTATGGTCAGATAATAAATTCATAAGAAGCAGAACTGGAATTCAAATGTACTTTTTTAGAAAATGAATATCCTTTTAAGCTTTATTTTAATCTGTGTTTTGATTTGTGTATGTAGTGGTGTATGTAGTGCATGCATGTGAATATGCTAATGTGGGTGTCTATGTGGGTGTGTAAAGGCCAGAAGCAAGATGGCAGTTATTTTCCTTTGTCACTGTCTGCCTTATTCCCTTGGGACAACATCTGTCACTGAAGCAGAAGCTTTTGCAGCTAGGCTGGCAGGTTGACTGGCTGGCCAGCAAAATCTCAGGATTTGTCAGTATTGTTAATGCAATAAGTTAGAGCATCTTGGCCCCTCCCAGTGCATGGCTTATAGGTGTGCATGGCCCTGCCCAGGTTTTGTTTTTGTTTTTTGTTTTTTTTTTTTTTTAAAGTGGGTTCTGGGGATTTGAATTCAGGTCCCGATGCCTCTATAATAAGAGTTCCATCCCCTGAGATCATGTAAGCATTATTGTTCTGCTGCATTGCCCTCCCCTTTCATTTTGGAGACTTTGTGCCTGGTGTATGGAGTGTGGGTAGCCTGTACCCAATGCTGTGTTGTAATTGTCAGAGAATGGATTACTGGTGACAGATTTGGCTTTGATGCTCAGCGTCTTCCAACATTGTGTCTTTCATTTTTAGCAGAGGGGTTTTGTTGTCAAGTAACAAGAAAAAAAGGTTATTTTCCCAATTCCAATTCTCTTTTAACAAGTTACCTGCTCACCACTCTCATTTATCATGGGAAGAATTAGACTCTTCTTCATTTGTAACCAAATGAAATCCATACTATGCAAGACACAGGAGATATTTATCAGAGAGAAGATGGAGGACATAGAGAGAAGGACGCCTACAATTATGCCTCTCTCTCCCCAGTTGTCTTTGCAGAACAGAGCGGTGCTGTCTCTGGATTTAATTTAGAATACTCATTACTGCTAATAGTTATCTGCAAACCACCAGTGACCAATTGAAGAAATGACTTGTCAGATCTCTAATGGAAACAAGTAATTTTTGAGCTTTGAGTTGTTATAATTTCAGCTGTACATGCGCCGTTACGCTGTGGGGTCTGGGGCCTGAACTGAATGAGATTTGATTGTTCCACATCGTGTATAATTAAAATATGCTCTCCTGTTAAATGCTTGTTCCTATTTGATCATAAGAGTAATAATAGCTGCTGTTTATTAGGCTGTGGCTCTGAGCTGGGCACTTTAAGTATGAAGCTCTTCATAGATGTTCCTTTAATATTAAAGCAGCTTTGCAAGATCAAGGGTTATTATTTATTGCTGTAGAACACAGTTTTAAATTTCATTATCAGATGAGGAAATTTAACAGCATTGTATAGTTTTGGCTTCACACCTGCCTTTTGAACCTGAAGGAATCCTGAATGCTGCCCTATTTAAGATACATAAGAGATACATGCAGAGGGCTGGGGATGTGATGTGGTGAAGGTGTTTTCAGAGGACCTTCCTAAGGACCACAGCTTCTCCACATAGGCTGTCTGTTAACCCCCTTTTGCTGGTGACTTTTGGCCAGCCGCAAAACCTCCCTGTATTTCCTCTTGTTTACAAGGGGATGTTAGGAGGACGAAGCCTCTGTCCTATCATTGAGTACACCCACATGTCAGGTGGCCCTCCTTCTCCTTACTGTCTTATTACTGTCATTTTTCTCAGCTCTGCCTTGTGATTGAAGTTTCTCTTGCTCAGACTGTTCTTGATGGCCAAAATCTCATTTTTCCTGAAGGTGAGGGAGAGCTTTCTATGCCAATATGTTTTAGGATTTATGTTTTTTCTTTATGACTGTGGTCCTTTGGCTGCTGTTAGGTTTTTATGGCATTAATATTTTTTATTGTAGCATTTTCGAGAGCAAATTCTGCAGCTGAAATTGAAATGACCACACTGTTCTCACTGTCTCCCTTTCAGGTCTTTATAAGTCACTGAAATTTTTCATTTGGCCTGAGCTACATTTTGTGGCTCAGGCCTCCCAGTCTCTGTGGCGGTACTCTGAACTTTCTGGGAGATGCTTATAGGAAAAGAACTTGGCATGTAAAGTGGGACTTAAAGGGGCATGCATATTAAAGGGAGGCAGAATAATTTCTAGTTACAAGGGAAACTCGTGCTTTTCTCATTCTAGTCTCAGGTGACTACTATGTGAACATCAGCAGTTACATTTAACTAGAGTTTACTAAGACATTGATCTGCTTGTGGCTTTGCTCAGAGTTTATCTGTTCAATAAACAGTTCAGTTTCATATGGACAAGCCAGGTTGTCTGTCAGGGGTTGGGGCATCTGCAGTGGATTCTACCCAGGTCAGTTTCCCTGTTATGGTCTGATTGGAAAGATGGATAGGAAGACAGTTTTGTGATGCAGTAAGTGTGTAAGTGAAGGGTACTGTGTAGTTGCCTGTGGATATCAGGGGCAGAAAGGGGTTGGTCTAGTGAAGAGGACTTAGAAAATACTATGTATACAAAGATTCACATGCAGCATTGAGAGAACATGCTAATAAAGTCAGGAATCTGTGAGAATGTTTTGCTCAGAATGAGGCTATCTTTAGGAAATACAGCCTAGAAGTAGGTAGGTTTGTCTGGTTCTTGAGTGTTACACTGCTGATTTTTTGTCTTGAAGGTGAAAGAGGACCAGTGATTGGGAAGTAAATGACCAGAAATTGTGCTTTCAGAAGATTATCCAACTCTATGAATATAAGGAGTAGGATTTTGAGGGGGACAAGGCTGACAGCAAGGTGGTAAGGATAAAGGAGATCTGAGAGGTCTACTATAGAGGGAGCAGGGCCAGACCCTAGGGCATGGAAAAGATAAATGCAGAGTGGGGTCCAAGTGTGGAGGCAAGAGATGTGAGAATAGAGTCAGATCATGACCTGGGAGATATGGAGAGTGGAATCAGAATATGGGGGAGGAGAGAGGATGTGAACAGTGAGGTCTTATCATAGAGGCCAGAGATGCAGAGACTGGACTCAGAGCATGAGAAGAGAGATACAGAGTGGGGTCAGAGTATGAGAAGAGAGATGCAGAGACTGGAGTCAGAGCATGAGAAGCGAGATGTGTGGAAAGCGTGGTCATATCTGCAGAGCTAGAGGAGCTCTGGTCATTTGACAAGCCAGGGGCTGGAAGCCCAGAGGTCTAGGGACTCACTCAGCCTTTGTATCCAGTACTTTGTGGTTTCCCAGTATTATACAAACATTGATGTGAAAACCAGCTCCTTTGTGTACTGAAACTAGTCCACTGTCTGCACTGACTGATGATAAAGTCAGCTGTACATATGGAAGGCCTTAGGTAGGAAGTTGGCAAAGAAATTTAGTTCCCTGGAAGCCTGAGTTTTGGCTTTCTAGATGTTGTGTAGTAGGGTCTCTGGACCAAACGGGACCTGGTGAAGTCAGCATTTTGTGAAGACCTGTGTTTATTTTCTGGGACCTGGACTAGACACATCATCTCTTAAAAAAAAAAAAAAAAAAAGGAAGACCCCCACATCTGGTGTGACTAGAAGAGTTCAACTCTGGCTTTTGACACAGAGTGGCGTGAGTAGTTTCAATTTCAATTGGTTCTCAGAGAGGGGCCTGTGTTCAAGTGGGTGTGTTGGATCATAATTGTCTCCTATTAGACCTTCAGGTTTCTCATTTCTCATAGTTATATATGAGGCTGTGTGGTATGTATCCTTGTGTATACTATCTTTGTATATTTGTGTAATTCTTTTTGGGGGATAAATGCCTATAAATGGGAGTTCTGAATGCCCCAGTCTTTAAATCAAAATCACATGCAGCCAACAGTAGACCCTAGAGTAGGATTGACTTTCCACTGGTATCTTCTCCAAGGAACTGGGAGGAACCTGTGTATGTGAGGCTGAAAAGCTGGTCTGCATCATGTCCCAACCTGATCTACTAGAGGTACTGGAGTCCTTAGGTCAAGGCCCTTATTCCTACTTGTTGAAAAGTTTAGCCTCAGCTGAGACAGTTGGTCAGATTTGAGTGTCTAATCTGATTGGCAAGGTTCTTATCTTAAAATCTGCTCTGTAATACCTGTGCTGCAGGTTATTTGTCACTGGAGAGCAGCCCCCTTGTCCTCCACCCCAGGTCTACAAGCCTGACAGCTTTCAGAATTGCTGTGATATGTGACCAGTATGGATTTTAAGGTGTCGAAAATTGGGTTTTAGGTCACATTTGATGACTTGCTGACCAGTAGTCCCAAGTAGTTGGCTTTCAGAACTTCCTGTGAAAGTGAAGCTGGTGAAATATTTCAGAGTTACATAGCATTATTTTGAGCCTTGGTATATAGGAAGAACATAGCATGATGTCCAGACTGCTGAAGTGTGCCCAAAGCTGATGTTTCTAGCCACTGCCCCAAGTTCTGCATATCAGTTTTTATTTTCTGCTGCTCCTTTTGTGTTTCCTTGACTTTGGAATAAAATTCCAAAATTCCTTTCTTTGGCCCACAAGGTCCTGCCCAGTGTGATTGCTTGGTGCTCAACATGTTTCTATCTCTGTAGCACAAAGTGCTCCATTGCAAACTGTTCTTCCTCACCACACCCAGGGCCTTCACGGATACTCCACCCTGGCCTGGGACACTGTGTCTC